AAGCCGAGCTGACAGAGAAATCTTTGCACTTTTATGTTTACATCCTGGGGTGTGCGATAGACTTACCTACACGTGGTGCACTCTGGGCAACGTATACTCATACGGCAAAAAAGTCTATTAACCGGCAGTTGACTTCTCACTTCAAACTACCATGACCCCACTATATGTCATATTCGACTACTTCCACAGTACTCACCTCACCGTTTTTCAACCTTTGTGTCTGTCTGTCTCTTTTACGGCTGTGAATCATTATTCTGTCCCCCTCTCGACTTTTTGCCACTTTGATGTTCATCTTCATTTCTGTGAAGCCCAAAGTCAACTAAAGGGCTGACGATACCCATCATAACGCCTGCCATTTGAAATAAATATTCTCTCTAAATACTAATTCCACTTCCTTCTTATTCGTTCAAGTGGAAGTCGCACAGCTTTGGTAGACTTTTGGTCAGCTTTCGATGATGCTATTTTTGTTTGACTGCAACCTCGTTTATAATGCGCAAATCAATCAAAGTTGCCTTCTCTTCATGCTCTAAGCTTTTCATTATAATAGACGATTATTTCCTTAAAAGACAACTAAAAGTCCTATTTGCATGAAAGCAGATATACGAGTGTAACTAACAGCGCTCAACTTAATCTGTGCTAATACTACCAGATTTATTTGGATATCAACAATCCTTGGATACTTCTAACTTGCACGTACTGCAAAATTACATGCAAAATAAAAGCATTTTATATATATTTATGTCATGTTCGTTTTAGCAACGCCTCTCAAACGCACAGTACGCCATCACAGTGGCTAGAAGAATAGGCGCAAAAATCTATGCAGTGCCAGAGGATATAACTGAGGTTAAACCTCGGATGTTAATGACTGTCTTTGCTTGCCTCATGGCAATTGACCTTGAAAAACACCATAAGGGTAGCCTCCCTCGTCTAGTCTCATCACCGTCTCTAACCCGCATGAATTCGGTGACCTTCAATGATCGCACGAGATCCCCTTCAACAAGTCGAGATGATAGAAGTAGCTCAAAAAGTGTCTCACCCTACCGCACACCTAATCTATCATCCAACATGTCTATTGGCCGATCTCTAAGTCGTCCACAAAGTGCCTATCAGCGTTTTATTGACGAAACCACTCTTGCTGAACGTCGAGCCGTAATGAATAAGGTGTCAACACAAATGGCATCTTATCGTGTTGAAAGTTTGATGGTGAAGAACATTCCACTCACTGTGGATATTGGAAAGATTCAGTATGCGGAAAAGGGTACTCATTATGATCCGCCACAGAGGAGATTTTTCGGATCACCTCCACCTCCGAGGTCCCGCCATGGAGAACTCTTCTCTTCACCTCGATTATACCGCAGTGAGATTGCAAAATCGGTCACAGCTTTGGATCAAATCGGAAAGTCAGGCTGTAAAGGAACAAGTGGAGTACCGCAAGTCTATCAAGGTGTAAAGAAAGTTGCCGGAGCAAACACAGTTGAAAAAGGAGTTCAATGTGAAACCACAACTTGGAGATCAACTATACCCTTGTCATGGAGTAAGGATTCCAAAGAGAGTGATATATTTGCCACCTCTGTGAGAACAGTAGGAGGAAGCATTAGAACAGCACCAAATGGAGTTGGAAGATATTCTCGAAAGGATGAGGTGACATCACCTCAAAAACGCGGTTTCGCAGCAGCTTATGGTGAGTATGCCAGCAAAACGGTTCAGGCGAATCGTATTGGAGAGAGTTCAGGAGTTCGTAGGGGTGGCGGAGGAAGGGTTTTCATGGCTGCTGATATTCATGGTAATTATTGAATTACCAATCTATCTTCCATTATTAGGGCTTCTAATTAACTTTTTACTTCTCTTTTACCTGATTATTCCATCTTTGTGTTGACCTCTTGACCTTATGCGTACTTCTCACCGAATTGCTTGCCCTTGTCTAATTTGGGACCAAATTTTATCTTAAATTAATGCCTGATAAACTATGTGCTTTGCCAATTTCTGATGCAATAATTACGAAATATCTGCCAAATAAAGGAGTGATCAATGCTTGATATTGCAGAAATTACCGAACCAGCCTCACGCCTATTGGGATTCCCTGAGCTATCGTGGATTTAAAATAATAATAGGATGGTACCAAGAAAATTAGCTATTTGATTCTAGATTTAGAAAAGCGTCGAACTGCAAGACTAGTAAGTTTAGAAATAAGGGCTTAAGGACGATTGAAATTACAAGCAACGAATAGAACGAAACCCAATTCCTGTTTAATGTTGTTCGGCCTTCTTGCTATGAAACTAAAAGTGGCTCTAATCCCATGTGAAACCACATTATGAATCTTACCAAGTGAGACTAGGTAACTCTCCATATAACTTAGGATCCTCCTACAGTAATGACAACATTTCATGTGTGAAATAACAAGAATCTAAGTGGAAGGGTATGTGTTGAGGGCTTGGGATTGGGTTAGAGATGAAGAGAAATTGAGGGAAAAGAGAGACATGACGCCATTGAATTATGACAATACGGACTAAGCAGACCTGGCGTAATTAAATGTAAACAGGCTATTAACCCATTTTGGTCTTCTTTATTTTGTGACAGTTAGAGCAAGTACGAGAGTCAGTGTATGAAAGGACTACAAGCAAAAGAATATCGATTAAAGAGTTGAAACTATTCGACATTTCATGTTATGCCAAACTTTACTATGCAAAGAGCTTATTATTGCATTGAACTTCGCCTTCTCGTCGACAACGCTAACTGAAATGAAATCCAAGTAGTCATGATATTAATTTAATTGCATGTGTGGTATAATAACAAACTTAAACCCTAACGAACAATAATTTTAAAATGTTTTTACTAGTAGCTAGAGTACCTGACTTCTCTTCAAACCTTTCATTTTCACCCAATATTCACCTCAAAAATAAGATCGTGAATAGAAGAACACAGGTTAGTGATGATTCTCTGGTGGAAAGAAGACAGATGTGGTGGAAAAAGAAGTATGATCGTATGTGTAGTTTTGGGTTGACGATAAACGGAGTGAGGCAGACAATTTCAAACAGCCAGCATATATTGACCTAGAGAGTGAACGTCACTGTATTTCCCATATTTGAATATTTTTTGCCGGTAAGGCTAATGGAAAGGGGAGACATTGAAACAGTTCAAAGATGGTGTTAAGAACAAGTCAAAGAATTTATCTAATTCCATTTATCATTTGCCTAAAAGGCACGATTTAGGGCTATATACGAATCTGTTTAAATGTTACTTTTCTCGCCATTTTAAGTGGAAATTCTGGTAAGTGATCAATATAGCTTTAGCCGTTTCGAGAAAGTTCATAAATAGGGCGTAGACGCATAATTACAGTATGAATAGTGAACCGTTGAAATTCTCTTACCTAAAATATTAATTTATTTATTTATATCAAATGGCAGGCGTCTTAATGGTTATCATTAGCCCTTTAGTTGACTTCAGACTTCACAGAGGGGAAGGAACATCGAATTGAAAAAAGTCGAGAGGGGGGGGGGAACAGAAGAGTGTTTCAAAGATGTAAGAGACAAACACAAAGGTAGAAAAAAGGTGAGGTGAATACTGTGTAAATAGTCGAACATGGCATGGTGTGAGGTGATGGTAGTTTGAAGTGAGAAGTCAACTGCCAGTTAATAGACTCTTTTGCTGTATGAATATACGTTGCCCAGGGTGCACCACGTGGAGGTAAGTCCATTACACACCCCATTACCTAAAATATTTAAACCCCCAGAGCAATCAATCATTGAAGGGTAGACCACAGACGGTCGCTAAGGTAATGACATTTGATTCGAAATTGATGCTAAATTCAGGTCGGTAGATGACCTTACTCTCAGCACACGTAGGTCTGGAGACTGAGTGGGCGTTGTGTAAGGCCCACTGGTCAAATGCAGCAGGTGAATTGGTTAAGTCTACAATAATCGATTATAAATAGTCTATGAATGGTAAGACAAAATAAATCTCACCTCTCATCTATTAAAAAAATGCATGAAAATAGCATGTTAAGACGAATATAGGAATTTCTCCTCTCTTACCTACAAAAATTTATTTCAACCATTTTAATTAATACATGAACACCACTTTACGAAAACCCCTAATTTTGGTAGAAATCAAGCATGTAAATTTAGAATTCTTCGACAAAAATTTTGAAGATGCTGGCTCTCAAACTGCAGAATACGTGCAATACGAGGTAAAGAAGCCATTAAGTTTAACTGTTAATAACTCTGGTCAGTAATTAAATTGAATTTAATTATTCGAAAATTCCCTTGTTATATATGTGTTTAATAACTACGGTGACCAGTTAGTTGAGCATTAATAAAACGGAGTACACATTTTTAAGGAAATTAAATTGTCTGAGTTTGGCACTGAATGAAAAAACCTTATTTACTCCGCGCCATCACAAATGCCAGTTAATCGCGAGTGACAGTCTTGCCAACCGCCATATTTTACTGCCCTGTAGTTATTGAATAAAGAGTCGCCTTCATTTTTTTCCACCGTTTTTAAACTGCAAACACGCTCTCTACAACTAGTGATTAAGCTCTGCCATGAACTGCCTTCAAGTACAATTTCAGGAGAGTTTGCAATATAATTCGCATTAATGAAGGCCTGTTTTAATTTGATTATAATTCAGAAACTCTCCAAACTCTGCCATAGCAGGCTTTACATGATTATTTTTTACCTGATCCTGTGTGCAGATGGCGCACAGGATCCAATTCATGAGGTCAATAGGCATTCACCGATCGCAATAGCCAACTGTTCTGGTAAACACTGACCAAAATGACGTACGGTCAGGAGAGCTTTCTTTAATGGGCTTCAATAGATAATACTTGCATTATTTTAAACACTAAGGCAAATTTTTGTCATTTAGAAAAGCACAAAAAATATATTCTAACCCATTTTTTGCG